ACAACTTCCAACATAACATTAAATCTAACATCCTGATAGGTGAAAATGTCATAGATTTCACCTATCTCCGGTGTAATAACAATATTATTAACACCCAAGTAAAGCACAAAAATAACTTGTTCCTATTTGTAAATGCCATTTTCTACTAGCTCTCAGACACCTGAGGCACTGCATAGTTGGAGGGATTGTTCCACTTCTTGGGTAGTTGCAGCCACTTACGGCTTGAACTTGGGCCTCAGAAGCTTGCCTGAAGGCTCCATTAATTGCCAGTAATGCAGAGATTGTTGTGTCATATTGCTTAATTATGCACTTTTCTTCCTCTTTATGTCATGCCAAGCAGATAAGAAAGGCTTTGGAAGAGAACTTGGTCAAAATGTGTTTATCACTGGGAAGTGTCAGAAAACTGAATAAAGCCTCCTTGAATAATGGAGGGTAGACAGACCCTGAAGTGAGAACGTGCATCTTCATTGTCCAGGGAAGATCTTTTTCTACTGACATGAGGGGAGAACTGTCTTGTAAGACTGGCATTCTTTAAGAAAGAGAACAGGAGAGTCCATCCTTCTCCCACAGCACAGGCAAAAAGCTCTCTAAACCCATCATGGTGCTGAAGTATAAAGCAGGTCTACCTCTGGCTACAGGTAATTATTCACAAGGTATTTTAACAACATCATCTATTCTTGTGTGTTCTTTCTTCATGTCCGTGAAGCTCTTTGTGCTTCAGTGAGAAAAGCTGGAGGACCAGGAAGCAAGCCAGAGTTATGGTTTTATGCAGAAATAAGAAATAGGGAATCTCTTTAAGGCATGAAACCTCCCAGCAGGATTTGCTGTCATCATCTTCTCTACCCAAAGCAGGCTAGGGACGTGCTCTCTGCAGAGAAATGTTATTGATGATCTTTTCAGAGCTGATCCTCTTCTCATAAGCAGAGAAGTTAGACACATGGTCGCCAGAATAGCTACTGCTGCTCCTGAGATATTTAACTTCCATATTTAACATCAGGAATCTCTTAAATTGCTTTATATTGCCTCATTTCTGACAAAACTATTTCCAAGACAGCTAATGTTGTCACAGATTTAAGGGTAAATGGGTCCAACCTAAGAAATTATATTCTGCAGTCAGATCTCTTCCTATTAGGTATTTTGGATCCAGGCTTTATACTTAGGTTTGTCTCTATATTTTTACCACTAAGAAAGAAAAAGACTGCTAAAATGCATTGGAGCTAGTTGAAAAAGAGTTATTTAAATGCAAATAAGCATCCTGCACGGCAGTATCAGAGTCCAGGCTCTGGACCAGCATCACTAGCTGCTTCCTAGCCAGACACTCATCATCACCCATGGGTGATCGACTGGTAATCACCGGCTGATCTCAACTGCCAGGAGGAGATGTAGGCTGGGCAGCAGCTATGTGCCTTGGCTAGCATCTGGGACAAGGAGGCAACTACTGCAAAGGGAGAAAAGCCACAGGTACCTGTGGGGGGGCTGCTTCACTCTGGGGGTGGTTAGTTCAGTCGTGCACCACTCAGAGCACTGAAAGGCTCATGCCGTGTGTGGCAGAGGCCACCGTCTGTGGCAACACGAGCTGAAAGGAAGGCTCCTTTCCATTCCAGAGGAAAATGAAATCTCACCAGTTATTTCAATCTGAAAATGAAATTTCTCTAGACTTCTGGTTTATTTCTTTTTTTTTTTTTTTTTTTTAAGAACAAATAATTCTTCAATCTATATGCCACTGTGAGAATGTGTTACATCCATTTTAGTGGCCTTTATTTTGCCAGGCAGTGCTAGGAGCCAAACTAAATGAAAGCTGAGGCCTCGAGGCCTGAGAAAGGGCTTCTGTAAAGTGATTGTGGCCAAAGGTGTGCTCCAGCTTTCTCCTGGAAGCTTCATCCATCTGGCTATAATGCTAAGGAAGTTTCATGACTTCAGGCAGACACGGGAAAGGCACTGCACCAACATGCAGAGCACAGCTTGTTAGTGACATGTTTTAAATCTGTAGTTTACTTTTAGTTCCATTTACCGATTCCATCCCCTTGTCCATTAGATGTTTGAATGGGCTCTCCCATATTGCTTCTGTGACCAAACCCATTCCCACGACCTGTCTTTAGCAGGGGTCTAGGTACAGTTTTATTCAAGACTGCTTATGGTCATCTAAACACTGGCTGGACAGACCTAGTAGAGAGGAAAGGAACGTGCTCCTGCCATAGCTCTCCTAGTCCTTCCAGACTCGGGTGCTTAGGGCCTCAGCACAGTAGGTGCTACTGAGTTTGGCTCACCCAAAGGTTTTGGCAATGGTGTTTCAAATGCGGGACTTCTGCCTAACCTGTCTGTCTGCCAAGGATTACAACTTTATGTCATGGGAGATGTTATTGGGTTGGGTTGAACTAACAAACAGTTAGACTACCGGCTATTCCAAATCCAAGGCTGGCTATGTCAGCTTAAGCTTTACACTCCAAGAAGGAGCAGTAGCTTGTGAAAGTAATCTCCTACCAAAAAAGCAATAATACTTGTGTGAAGCAGTTGAGCTCTTTTCTCCCCAGATCACTAGTAACCCCAGTTATTCAGTTTTCACACCACCACTCCTACCATGACTATTCACTTCCCTTTTACTGCCTGCTGTCCTTCCTAGCCCCTCGCCTCACATTTACCACTGGTCTCTGTTTCTCCGTCACAGGCGTCTCACAGACTCCGGGACTCTCCAGCTGATGTTTATTTGCAGCTAGTCCCAGGCCCTGCACTCCTCTGCCTTGCTCTCAGTATCCATGGGAACATCCTCATTGTCCTGTGGCAAAAAACAGGGATTCAGTGTCCACCTTCGCTTTAGAGATTCACTCCTCATCTGCTGCATGAGAGTGCCTTGCCTTCCTACACGATGCAGAGTTTGAGAATAGGCTTTTCTACATTATTTCTGTATTCTTGTGTCCATCTTCTAGCTTGAGAAAATCTTCCTTTGCCCGGATCTGAAAAGACAAGAGTTTTTTTTCTAAACTCTTGGCTGGCAGAAGTAAACCTACTGAAGGCAGTTTCCCAGCCGCTGTATGTTCTGCCCCCCCCAAGCTGTCCATGTTTATTTGCATGCTTCCTCTCCACCACAGCACCACATCCCCACCCCAGGGTGCTGAGGGAAACGTTCAAGGGCAAATATTGCCACTTCCTCCGGGGAGATTGGAGCAACAGTCTGAACCATTGCCGTGCTTCCCCAGTAAGTGGTTCCCTAAGTCAAGTGTGGGGAAAGACTTGAGCCATAACAGGGATCGTTTTCCTCTTCATACGCTCAGAAGGTTGAATGAAGGACGGACGTGCCTGAAGCTCCCACCCCTCCAGGCACCACGACTGTTTAGTAACTCAGCGCAAATATCAAGTCCTTGTCCTAGGAAGCTGATTAATCCTTCCCAAGGACCTGTGCCTGCCTCTGGGGTAGTTTCTACATGGCAAGTCCAGCAGAATGGAGTAGCCCAAGCTTTCCAAGATTTGTATTCCCTTGCTGTTTCTCAGCAGGGGGTCACCGCTTGCCTCACCCCCATTGACACCAGGGAGGTCCATAAATCAGCTGCACAGTGATAGCACAGCCCTCCCGATGCTCATTATGCACCTCGCTGCTGGAGAAAAGCACCACCTTTGGTGCCAAGTACATTAGGGAACATGCCTGGGTTTAAAAATACTCCATGGGAGGGAATCACAACATTTCCAAAGCTTGGCCTCTTGCATCACAACGGCAGAGCGTGCTCCTCACCATGTCTCAGGCGATAACAAAAGCCCAAGGCCAACAAACAAAATGAACAGCTTTAAAACAACAAAGCTGCACTGTGTTTTGTGTACAGTGTTTGTTGCCACAGTCTGGCCCAGAGTCACCATCTCGGATTTCCCTGCCAGAATGATGGAAATATAAACAGGGGCTATAAACCCAAAGTATTTCCAGCTCATACATCCAAAAGATAGAAATTATAGTCTCTTAGCAAGGAAAATGTTCGAGGGTAGTGAGGTAATGGGACCTGGTTACAGAGCTCATTCCTGTGAAAAATTTTAATATAGCATGGAAATTTTTCCAATGTCCTTGATGCAACCTCTGTTAAAGTACAAAATAATCCCCTTTTTTCAGTGGAAAAGCCCCTTCCATGCCTTCGAGAATGAACTGCTGAGCTCCATTTTGGGACCGGTTTCTTTCCAGCTGCTGTTTCCAGAGATTCCTGAATGACTCCGAAGACACAGCATCAGCAAGGAATGAAATCTGGCTGTTTGAAAGATAATCCGTCGCCTGTTGGCTTACCTAGAAAGGGCCTCACTTTTCTGTGCATTTGCTGAGAGTTGCTGCTGTTGAACTATAGGAGTCCCGGCTCCAATCTTGCTAAATAATATTCTGGAAGTCCATGCCATGAGTCACAGCACTGGATGAGGGGCTCTGCTCATTTGATTAATTACATTACTATTCCTGCCCTTTACTTGTTGACTCACAGTCATAAGAGCCTGGGATGTGCTGCGTATGTAGTAAACTGATTAAAGGGGGAATGTGTGTCAATGTATGGATGTGTACGATAGCTTTTTGAAATCCCTTATGATCTTCCCACCCACCGGGCATTGCTTCAATATCAAGTTCAATTGTCAGGAAACAAACTTGCTCCCTCATCTGCGTCGCACATTGCAATGAGCTTGCCAAATATGGCCAGGCTTTTAGAAAGAAAAGAGAATCCCCCCACCAGTGAATTTATGACCCTTGGCTCTGCTTGTGGCTTGTTCCTCTGCATGCCTGAGTGACATGGAAACTGCAGCAAATCTATTTGGCCTGTTTCTACACTCTCACACTTGCAGCTATGCTGGATTTTTCCTTTTAATGACTAGGGGGTTTTTGTTTGGTTTGTTACCTTCTAATGCAAGCAACCCATGATGGGAGGCCCAAAGAAGAGCAACATGTGTTAATGAAAAGAAAGGGGAAGGATGGAAAACAAACAAGGAGAGGCTAGAAGTGTTGCTGAGCATTTGGAAGTAGAACATCACTCCCCCATCTCTTCCAGGTCCTTCAAGCCAGACTTTGTCCTGATCCGGCAGCACGCCTACAGCATGGCGCTGGGAGAGGACTTCCGCAGCCTCATCATCGGCCTCCAGTACGGTGGCATCCACACAGTCAACTCCCTCTACTCCATCTATAACTTCTGCAGCAAGCCCTGGGTGGTAAGTGATGATCCAGCCCTACTGCATGCCAACACTGCTAAGTAGATATGTGGTACTGATAAAGCACCAAACTCAGCTTCCAGTCTGTTTCATAGGTATTCATCTCTTTAGGTTGAAACCACCGTCTAAACAGCCTTAGGAATCCAACTGGGAATTCTTGAGGGAAAAAACTACCAGCACTCCTCCTGTATCAGCCTCTAGTGATATCGGGGTGTTATTTCCTCACCCTGAGTGGGACGTTTCACCTATCCCAGACTCTAATGTGTCACAAACAGCTAACAGTACAGCAACACCTAGATTTCTTGTAAAGCAGAGTAGATGAATAGTAATAGATTAATAATCTCAGATCAATAGTAGCACATCTCTGTCCTGACCAAAACAGAGTAAAACTACCTTAAAAGAAACATTAACGTTCACTATTTTAGAAGGTATCTGAGCTATGCTATTTCTAGCATCTTATATCAGATGCACACTTGTGGCATCTAGGTGCTCCAGTCTATGACTAAGATTAACCATTCCTTGCAGAAGTGCAACCTGCACTTGTCTTGTCTTCCTACTTTTTCTGGGTGGTTCCTTGTTGTAGGGAAATTAGCTGAAAAGAACAGCAAAAAAAGGTAGAAAGATGATTTCTTCAACATATAGGTCTAGGAAAAAAGGGAACATAGAATGACAAAGACCTGGGAAAGAGTCAGAAAGAAATGGGAAAGCATGTTTTTCAGCAGTTTTCGGAGGAAATACAAGGTTATCACAAAGTGTTGGTTCATTGAACCTGAAAGACTGCACCTCAGAAACACCTTGGGCTGAGTCCAGCTCCTGGGGAGAACAGGACAGTGTTTTGATATTTTACACTGGGAGCCCCCTTCACCTGTTCTTTAAATTTTGTCAAGTTCACCTAAAAATCTCAGAAAACCTTAAAACAGATTACCATTGGCTTGTCCCAGTCCCAAATCAACGTTTGTAATAACTCCTCAGACCTATTTTATGGCCAGCTCTAAGTCAGCAGGAACTGCGGGAGAGCCAGAGGAGTAAGGCTAGCCATAGTAGCACCTGCAGCAAGAAGTCAGCTGCTGATACCATTTTGGGGTCCACATCTGAGTCTTCCAAGCAGTTTCATCCCAAAGTGCCCTCTCTGATCATCCATGCTCCCAGAATGGAAATTTCCCTGCCTTGTTCTAGGTCTGAAGCAGAGAACGACAAGCTATATAGGTGTTACAAGGAGATGGGACTTCCTAATATGCTGCCCATGAAAAACTTTAAGATATGTTTTTAGGAATTCCCCTTAATCATTGCACAAATTTAGCTTGGGGTGAGTTGGAATCTTTATAGCAAGTGGCAACTATCTTCCTCATTACCTAATTAAGTCTTTTGTTGTTGTTGTTTTTCCCTTGGAATAAATATCCTATTAGTCTTCAGTGGGTTGATTGGTAGTTCAAATCCATCTGAGGTCTGTAATGAGTCAGATTTAACTCATTTCTTACCAAAAAGGTACCACAATATTCTCATTTTTCACCCCTTTTATGACATTTGGGGGGTTTGTTAAACCAAAAGCAAGGTTCTGTCTTCTCCAAAAATGTCGCAGTGCAGTAATGAGAGCAGCAAGAAAACTCTCACTTTTCCATCACTGTATAGGTGGTCGATGCATATTTGGCCTCAGTCCCCATCTGAATGACAAGGGTTGCTAGGAATGGAAAGGGGAGGAAGAGAGGGCTCAATACCAGGCTCAGTACAACACTTTTGCACTGTTTCCTACAGTTGGTCCTACACACGTGAGCGTGTTGACCCAGGTGACCAGACAAAAAGCCTTCACATTTACACTGGGGTTTGCTGAGGAAGACAGCCGCATGGTGTATTCCATCTGATTTTGGGGTTGAGTCAGACAAGGTTTAGTTGACAGTTTTCAACTCATGACTTATAATTACAATTCTGATGGTGTGCAGGGGGTCTCAAGATGTGTCAGGACTATTTTTAGGAACCTAAAGTAAAAGAAAAAAAAAAACCAACAAACTCAGCACATTGCAAAAAAAAAAAAAAAAAAAAAAAAAAAAAATCAGATGCAGGGCTGGCAAGGCAGTGTGGGAGAAATTGGCTCTGCCAGTAACTCAGCTCTAGCTATTCTGGGGCCTGGTCGTGCCATGCTTTCCTCATGGGGAATACAGCTGGCTCAGACACCTTCCCAGAGGAGTCAGGGAAACCATTTGTAAACACTTAAAACAGGTTTGCAGAATGCCTCCTTTCCCTACTGCCACCACACACACATCATCCCCCAAAACCAATGACTGCAACGTGATAACTAATCTAAATGCTCAGAAGGGATATGAACTGGTATTTGGCACCGCTGAAATTTCACCAGATTGAAGCTCAGGTAGAGATTGCACTGGGGCATTTGAGGGCAGAAAGCTTCACTGTCAGCAGAATCAGAAAATTGGGATTTTGTGATAGCTAGTAAATGAGAGATAGGGACAGACCACTTCAGTGCATGTTCCACTCTGATTGCAAAACAAGCATCTTGAAATAAGGGATCTGCCAAACAAAGATTACTGGAAACTTTTTGGACCTAGAAAATAGTTGAGATAGATGAAGAAATGAAATTAAATACCCCTGGGAAATGTGCTTTTCACTCTCCCTTTTTATTTTTTCCAAAAATGGTTCCATTTCATAGAAATGTTTATGATTTTCTGGAGGGGGGTGAAAGTGAGACTGTTTTTCCTTGGCAATTTGCAGCAATGTTTTTTTCTCAGCAACTCTAATTACAAGCAGCTGAGTTTGGGCTTGAGTTTACTCAAACATGCAGCCCCATTTTTTAATGACATTTGCCAGGTTTCCAGTACTGCAATACACAAATTTCTTCAAAGGTTAAAATTTGCATTAAACACAGGCACAGTTTGAAATAGGTGTTTTTGAAAAAGAAACAGACATATTCAGGGGTATCTTACACACAGAGAAATATCTAAGAAACCTAAATTTTAAGATAATCCCAGAATTATTGAGAAATACTGCTACAAGCTTCCTAGCCACAATGCTTCAACCACTAATACTAATTTTTGTGCTCTAAAATTTACAGTACAAAATACAGTGGGAACAATGCTCAGAGTAGTACTCATATTACATGCAATAATGCCTGTAGTTGTAAGGCAACTTTTGCATCTCTAAAATTGCAGGAAATACGAAGTCTTGAAGCCAATCACATACAGAGTCCAAGAGACTCCCAGCCAAACTTTTATTGACTGTCAAGGGATATAGGCTCCCTGATGGCTAAAGCACTTTCAAAATATGAACAAGATCTTGAGATCCTCTGAATGGATGTTTTTATTTCTCTATAAAGACTCCCTGCAAGTAACTCAGATGTCCAAACAGGCAGTGAAGGCTTTTCACTTGAGTACCTCTTCCAGGCACTTAAAACCAGGCTGTGCCACACTGCCTTGCCCCATGTCTTGCCCTGTGATCTGGATGCAATCTCACTAAACCAGTGGAATCACAGAAAACAAGAAGTGACACCGAAATGTGGAAGGGGCAGTTATATCTAGCTGAGCTTCTGACAATAACATTCCTACCCATCTAAAATGCACTGGGAGGTGCCACTTGAGCCCTGCTATCAGGTATCTAAGAGGCTGCTGCACCATGTAACATGGGTGTCTCTTTGCCAATATCCTGTCCCTAACAACTGAAAAAAAAAAAAAAAAAAAAAAAGAGGGAATTTTCCCATAAGGGTCAATACCAAAGTCAGACCTTTTTGCAGGCTTGGCCCACTGAGGAGGCTCCCAAATCCAAATGGTTGAGTGTCTCATCTGGCCATCTATCTGAAACGTTTGTTATTTTAGGAACAGCCAAGGCTGTATTCTTGAAAAGGAAGCCCAAGGAACAAGTCAGGACGCTGCCTGTCAGCTGCACAGTTGTTCCAGTTATTTTGTTTGAGCTGTTTTCATAGGATAAGCGTGTGTTACCTCAACGTCACGGTGTCCCTGGTTGTCCAGGGCTGCGTGCCATCGCAGCAAGGGGTATGTGCTGCTCTCAGCCAGGGTGTTTTTCCTCCTCTCCCTATGTCCGTCTCATTCTGTTTAAGTTTTAAGCCCTGTTTGCTCGCTTTGCTAGTCAAAACAGGGCTTTATTTTCTTCTCTAGGATGTGCAGGGCTAGTGCAAGTAGTTAAGAGACGCAAGCTGTTCTTCTTCCCCAACATCAATACCCTCCTTGCCAACAATAATTATTCTACATGGGGAATTTTTATCTTATCTGCTGATGCATGTGAGGGCGGGGGTGTTAGTGATGGGATATGCCGCCTCTTGATGTTTTCTGGCGTTTCTTAACTGCAACATTTTGACCTACAAGATTAGGAAAAGGATTCTTTGCATTTGTCTGCCTATCTGCTGGCAGCCGCCCCTTCAGCACGTGGCTTGGCTCTGGCACACACCTTGCAGCCTGATTTTTTTTCACACTGGCTGCACTTTTTTTACACACATACCACCCTTTAACTCCCAAAAGGGCACTTATTCTCCACAGCCAAATGAAGTTTCAACTACTTATGCAGAAATGTTTTCACTTTGACCAGCCCAGTGACCAGGACAGGAGCCCTAATGTAGTGATTCAGCAGAAAACATTCTCTGTAGCTCTCTCTTTATCTGCAATGTAACCTTGGCGTTGTGATTTGGTACATTTACTGGCTTCAGTTGTTGCTCAGAAGTGCTCAGAACATATAAGATTAGGCAGCTGATGCTACTGAGAAGAAAGAGGGCTTTCTTTCCCTTCCCTTGTTCCCTAGATGTCTGTCTCCTCCCTCAGGTGACACAAGATCTCCTTCAAGATGAATGTATGCCTAGTTTTGATGAGGAACGTCTGTAAAGGACTTACAGTGAGACTTGGCCCAAAATGGAGACCTTTATTAATTTAACTTGATTTTATCAATACCAAGGGTCTTTGAAACTAAATTTAGTTTCTAAATTACTTTGCAAATAGGACATCAATGGGGAATTCAGTCATATTTACTAGTTCAGTAGGAACCAAAATTCTTACCTGCGGAGCAATCCCCAATCACTTTATTCTCTTAACAGCCATGAAAATAATCAAGCTGCCTTATTCAGCTTTATTCCCCCTTCTGAAAGGCTGCCAGTCTAACCACTTCACTAACAGCACTGCCAGTTCGGCATTGTCCATGGTAACGGGGCTGTACCTCTTCAGAGATAAAGCAGGATGGCTAGATGTGTGATTGTAAAGAATCTAATTACTCCTGAAATCCATAATGTTTCTGGGATATGTATCACCTTTTACTCTCTTTGGTATATCAACCCTGTTTCAGCAACATTTTCTGTCATAGCTATTAAGTTTCTCTCTTACACTTTTGGGGTTTTCTCCAGCTGATCAATGATAGATTGAACAGGGAGGCTGCAGACAACTTACAAAATAGCCTGCTCACTTCACAGGTGGTTGAAGCAGAGCAGGACTTTGCTGTGATCCTCCTCTGTTGGGTTTTGGAACCTGAACAGAAATCAAAACTCAGTCCTACCATGGGGAGCTTTGTGTCTGGCTGGGCACAACCTTGGATGATAAACAGTTTATAACAGAAATGATAGTGGTGATAATGGTGAAGTTCATCCTGAGAGGTGGGGACAACAGCAAATGTTTGCCCTTGTACGTGAAATACGAGCACTGTTGCTTTCCCCGTCGATGTTACACACTGCTTTCTCTAGATACCACCCTCACAAACTGGTGCCTCCCTCAGACATCACTGGTAGGTGGGACAGGGGTAGCAGATGATCTCCCCTTTCTCCTGCCATCCTTTGGGGGCTGTTGGGACACTCTTGGTTCATAATGTCAGTTATGATTGGCAATGGGCTCATGCTCCTTTGGTCTAACGCTCCAACCAAGTAGCACCAGCAATTCCCTCCAGTCATCTCTGTCCCTCAGCAATTCTCCTTCCCTTCAGCACAATGGGTAAATGTGCTTTGCTTTGATTTGGCTGTGGGGCAGAGATCCAAGGGAGAGCTTTGATTTATTTTGTCTCTGCTCAGGAGTGGCAGCACTGCTTTCCTGCCTGATCACTCCTCTGAGCCCTTTCCTCTATCAAGAAGGGCCCCCTTCCCCCTCCCCAGCCACATTTGGAAAGCAAACCTTGTTCACAGCAGATCTGTAACTAAACTCAAACTGATACCCTCCTGGCTCTTGAACCCCTTCTCCACTCTCTTAGTCCAAGGTTTGTGAACAGAGGCTGGCTTGGCCCTGGGTAAATACAGAAACTTTATATTTTCTTGCTACTCCCAGGTCAAAAAAGCAAGGTAGGAAAGGCATAATAACATGTCCCTCTCACCTCCTTCACCAGTATCAGAACATCTTGCAAGCACTTACCTGTTAGAAAATAAGCCACTGACACCCACTGTGTCTGTTTCTTGTTCCCTCTCCCTCACCCCAAGTTTTCTCAGCTCATTAAAATCTTCAACTCGCTGGGTCCTGAGAAGTTCCCCCTCGTGGAGCAAACATTCTTCCCAAGCCATAAGCAGATGGTGAGTACATTTGCTTTTCTTTGTTTCCAGCACGGATGGGGGAGAAGCAGCAAATGTGAGTTGCGCACAAGAGATGGTGGGAATTCAGGGAAGAGTCTCAATTCTGCTGACAGAGAATTACTAGCTAAAATGCAATATGCAAAAATCACTGCTTGGGAACCTCTTTCCTTTCTTGCCCAGCCCTCCACCGGGTCATATATGGACCCTGAAAAAGTGAACAATGAGAACAGGCTCAAAACCAAAGCAAAAAATCCATTGTAAAATCTAGTCAACAAAAGCTCATCTCTTAGAGCAGGGAATCACTTTATTCAGATAAAACGGCTTTTTTTACCCCTCCAGGAATCGTTTAAAACATATTGATGATTTGGGACGTGGGCCATAAGAGATGTTTGTTTCGCAGTGTCAGTTTGCTTGGTTTGCCATGTGGTTGCCATCCACAAAACATTTATCAGCCTGACTAGGTACTCAAAGTAAAGTGGAGTTCTTGAAAAAGAGTTTGTTTCGGCTTGCAATGTTTCCTTTGCACAGTGGCTCTGGGATCTACTCTTCCTGTCAACAACTAAACACTCAGTGCTCTGTGTGGCTACTGGGCACCGTATCAAACTCTTAGCACACCTTCCAAAGAGCTCTGCCTATGTGCCTTTCATTCTGGAGAACATGGCAAAGCAAGTGTCTTTGTTTAAAACTGTTCGTGTCTCTTGTTTTCCCTGGGTTAAAAGGATGACTACTCCTTCATGAATTTTTGCTTGCAACTTAAATCCATGAATTGATGGCTCTTCTTACCTGTCTGAGGTTTGATGAGACCCTGTGTGAACCGTGACACCCCGGATGAGGCACTGGCTGACCGAGCTTATTTCCCATGCTTGGTTGTGAGTTCCAGCAGCCTTGGCAGCCTGAAGATTAGGGTTGTTGAGATGTCCAAGTAGGCCTCAAAGACATGCAAACCCCTCTTTTCTTACACACTAGTTGCAACACTGTGGGCCAGCCACAATGCGCAATAGGGTGTAGGTACCTGATGGTGGATATAGGCACCAATCAAAATTCAAAGGGAAGTCTTATTTAGATTCTTGTGAAAAAATCCCACTGGTGCTCACTAGGTACTTGAATACCTTGAAATGCCAGCCCTTCATCTCTCTGTTCCAACACTCTGTTCTCTACCTCTGCTGTGTGGACAATGGCACTTCCATAACTCGCAGGCACATCACGAAGGTAAGTGCAGTCACGAGTGCTGTGAAGCACTGAACTAATGCAGTGGCAAGAGTTGTGTTATCCTTTAAGACCTAAAGAAATGGGTGGTCCTTGAACACTATGTGACAGTTTGTTGCAGACTTTTTAGGCAAATTAGTTGATAAATTCTGTTGCATTTAATTCCTGGTGATTTCTAAAGAGGGTTTTGTGGCATATGTAATGCTTCAGGACAGTTGTAACTTTGATCGTCGCTTCAGGAATGGTATTTGTGGAAGACTTAATTAAGGTTTTCATTGCAAATGCATTAGCTAACACTTTTAGCACTACTTTCTTGCCCGGAAATCTGGTTCTTGACTCCTCAGCACGTAAATGCATTTGTTACCAGCACAGCAGCTTGGTTCAGCAGAGCACTGTTCTTAATTTCACATACTTGTCATCTGTATAACTGATCACCTACTTGGGGATGCTATTGCTTACTCCCAAAAGAATACAGGAACCATTTTAAACTGTAGATAAATTCATCTGAACACAAACACTGTGGTTGACACGTAAGCTTGAGTAATCTAGTTCAAATCAGTCACTTTCCAAACATTTACACCCGCAACAATCCACTTGGGCAACTTCACGTCAGCCCTTTCCAGGTGGGGGGTCTCCCTGACGGAATGAATCTATATAACTTCTCAAGATCTTTTCTGGGTGCATTTTCACAGTATCCTGGGCTGTGAGGGCAAGTGCTTACACCAAGCAAGCTCCACTGCAGCCAACACATCAAGTACCTGTGAAAGTTGCTTGCCCACTGTGCAGCAGTCCCTCCATGTGTCAGATAGGAATATAAGCATATCTCCCTCTCTTTCTTCCCTTTCCTGGAGGCATTTTAAAGCTGTACCAGTTAGCACTCATAAAATATGCTGTGGTCCTTTGATGGCTGACCCCCCTGGAAGTGTTTATAACTAGTGTTATGGTTTAACCTCTTTGCAATGTGATATACTTTAAGCAATTAAGTTCTCACACAAGAGATCGTCATCCTTCTGTGTTCAAAATTTTCCGAAGCTTACTTTCTAAACCTTTGGATTAAACATAGAACAGATTTTAAAATCTGTTTCATTCTTTCATTTGTGTAGAGAATAGAGATTTTCCAAAGGTAAAAGTGAGATAAAGGAAACTTCTGACAGTAGGCCGATTTTTGTGAGCATTTTAATTTAGTTGAAAAAGCTTTTTTCTGAAGCTTCCTTCTCAGGACAACAGGGCATTTTTAACCAGCCTTAAACCGTAAGCCTAAAGAGAGGACACAAGGCTCTTGACATTTCGCAGCAGAAGAAAAATCCAAAAGATGAATCTCCCTTCCCTTTGCCACCGGCATGTACCTTTCAACCCTCCCCCCACCATCAGCTAACTGGAAATAAGAGCAATCTGGCAACTGTTCTTCTAAGGCTCTACTGGTGCTCCAGGACAGCCATACCGGCTGCCTTGCTCTGCAGTGACCCCCTACGGCCAGTTAGCAAGCGGGATACATCAACTTCAAAAGGGATTTTTCACCTCTCCTGGGCTTATGACCCCAGTAACAATTCTTAGAGAGATCAGCCTCCTAAGAAGAGGGAGGGACTGCTGGAGGGATCTTTGCCAAAGCACAAGAATTGCCAGAGGTGGAATATCTGCTTTGGGCCCAATAAAGCAGTATCAAGAAAGGGTAGGAAATGAATAAATCCACTTGCAAATCCGTTTGTGTACGTTTGAAGTGGACAGAAACTAATATAAGTGAAGCAGAGACAGAATGTCTGTGATAGAAATAAAACCACTTTACTGTTTAGAATAAAAGGACACTATAAAAAGTGAACATTATGCAACATTACCTTAAAAGACAATATACATTCACTGAATATAAAATTTATAAATAACATGGAGGAAAACTGTAAACAGTGCTAGAAAATTTAGCAACAAATACATTCCTTCTGGACAAGATTTTTCACACGGGTCTGGTTCCCTCCCCAGGTTTCCATGACTATCAGGAACAGTAGAGTGGCTCTATGAAGGAAGGACAGTGTCAGAGAGAAGGAGAAGCCAGTACAGGCAAAGCAGCAGCAAATGTTTAGTGGGTTTTTAAGATTTTCGTCAAGACTGGTAGCCCCAAAACCCACTTATTCTAAAACAGACCAAAAAAATCTGCAGTTCCCTAAATTTTGTTCTGCCCTTCTAAGGTATAAAACACATCGTGAGTGAGATACGCTTTCAGAGACATCTGAAAGAATGGAAACGTGTTCCCATGGAGGCGTTTACTTCAAACACTCTGCTGTAAAAAGCAGAGCAGTATGTTTCCCATCACCATGAGGCCGCATCTCACTCCAGCCAAGTATGAATGGGATATGGTGATATATTTAGGTTTTAGAGTAGTCCTACCTGAAGGTGCCACCAACTCTTCAAAACATAGGAAATTTAGACCTAAAACATCAGGTTTGTCTCATACAGGGGAGGGGGAAGCCTCCACAAGAGGACTTTATTCAAGGTACTCCATGCACAGCTCTCCTCCTGCTCTCTACTCCCCCCATTTTGGAAAAGGAAAAATCAAATCCAATCTTTCCCAAAACTTCAGTGTGCGTTTTGTATTTTTTGTAATTCTAAAGGGGGAAACATTTTGAAGCAAATAAGGAAAACATGTCTATAAACAAGAAAGCGAACAGGAACAGTCCAGTATTTTTAATAATGCTGGTGTACCTAAAGCACGGGGGGGTGGAGCCCTCATCCTGTACCTGTCCAAAGCTCATGCTCACATGAGCTGTGTGTGCCACCGACAGTTCCTCTAACCTTAGGTTATGGGGTGAAGTGAGGAGCATGTCAGAGATGACAGGAAGACATTTGTGCTGCTGCGAGTCATTGTATGCTTCATAGCTTAACGTTTTGGGGAGAACTTCACACCTGCCTTCTCACCTCTCCATGCCTGGTATTCCCACATACTGCATGGCCCGCTGTAATGAGGGAGAAGGGTTTGTTCACTGGCAGGCAGAAGCGACTTAGCAAAACAGAAGAAAGGAGAGCTGATAGAAAGAGAGAAGTCTGAGTCTGACTCAGAGCCTGTTCAAACCATTTAATGGCTCCCGTGCACTTCAAGGGAGCCTTCGGTCAGGTTAATAATACAAGCACAAGCTAAAGCTTAGCCCAAGAAACACACGTCCCTGATAGCATGCACAGAAACAAAATTAAGAAGCCTCCCAAAAGAAATGTATTTTTACTGGATTCTTCCCCCTCATTTTGGCTCCACATTTCAAAAAGCTTTAACAACTGTTTCTTGACACAGGAAGGGGAAAGATTTGCTACCAACCCCCCACCCCTGCCCATCTAGCTGTCTGCATCTCAGAAATATTTTACCATCTGCAATACAAAATGGGAATACGCTTCATTTTCTGGTAATGCATCTGCTGTTTTGTTGTTTACAAAGCACATAGCTAAATTATATCCTATTTAGGGACGCAAGCCCTCATAGTATTAGAATGCAAGTATTTTCACAATAATTTGAGTGCAATACTGTGATGTCTCAGCTAGCTAAATGAATCAGTGACAGGTAAAATATGCAGAGCTGCAGTTTAATGAAAATTCAAATCAACACTTCACTGCACCAAGGGGCATTTTCGTTTAGCCTCCCAAAGCCGTGGGACGTGGCTGCAGCTCAGAGAGACGCCGGCTTTGCAAAGTCGCCTGGAGCTTGAGGAGCCCCCTCCAGCCACGCCGACTCCACACAATGCCAACAGTGGGGGTGGCGAGGCTGGACCCACTCTGCCCCCAGTGACCCTCAGGGATTTGGTCAGCCATGCACAGCTCGAACAGAGATTGCTCCACTGTGCCCAAAGCCCCACCCCGTACTCCGCCAGAAGGGGCAACACTCTGACCCACCATCTGATCCTACAGTGGGTGCTGTGAAGCACCCTACTCTCCTTCTCATCTCCACCCCATAATTCCGGAGTAGTCACAGGGAAGGGGACTTCTGAAAAGCGTTCCAAGCCTGAATCACAGGAAAATCCAACAGATTTTCAATGTGGTTTGTGCTGCAATGACACTCAGCGCAGCTGAAAAAAATAATGCACAGCAGACCTAGGCACCTCTTGCATCAACTCTTTGAAAATGCCCTTTAAAGTTCACGTGAAAAATGAAGCTACGTGCATTTTTGCTGCGACAAGTCATCTAATAAATGGGGCATTTCAGGGGATGTATGTCTGGCAGAGCTCTGGTAGCACACAAGGAACGTAAAAATGCATCAGGGCCCGTCTCAGACACCCTTTCCTTTCCGTTTGGCAAAGAGGTCCCAGACAACTCCCCAGTAATTGAGGTCACTGACTGTAAAATGCCGTATTGCCCCAAGCTGGAATCACTGCAACACTTTTTCCTGCTGGTGGCAGCTCTGCTTCCTAAGTGGAATGAACTGAAGATATATGGAAACGTAAGATAAATAATCATTATAATACAAAAATGGAGTTAAGCATAATCTTCTCCCTGCCCAAGCCCACCCCATCCAAAACTCAGTCACCCATTTTTTCAGCACCCCTTCTTCACCATCATTAAAACTTAAAATACTTTTATTTGATAAGAAAAATTATATTATAGTTTTCTTAATAAAAAACAAAATAGAATGAAAAAACTTCTCCAGTCAACAGCAAAGCACAAGACAGTAAGGCTCCTCCTCCCACATCACTGCAGGACATGGTATGAGCACATGTACAGAGCTATGCTTAACAGTGCCTCGAGGGAAACACAGCACTTGACACAGAAGGAATCCTCTGGGCAGCTGAAATTTTATGATCCCAGCCAGCGCTTACTAGGAGACCCCTTTTCATTGTCTAGCCCCCCCACACACACTTCCTTTCACTATATAAACAAATGCAGCTAGTGTAGCTGCAGGGGAGGAACCGTGGTGCAAGGAGGTACAGAGGAAACAATGACTGTAGCCACTACTGCAGATACACTGGAGCTTCAGTATCTTAAAAACAACTCACTGACTCGGAATGTCAATATTTCTGTCTTGAAAACACAATCAAACCATTCTTCTGTTTATAACACCAAAAAATTTCCACCTCCTGTCAAAAATAGCTTATGTCATTATGTGTATATACATCTTAGTTCGGCAAAACACTATTTTGGCAATAGATTTTTTTTTTTTTTATAGTAAGAGTTGTAGCAAGTCTCCCCTTTCCCTCTTCCATGTGATTGATTTACAGTTGGTATTTTTGCATCTGTTTGGTTTAAGGTGTTCACAAGCTGGTTTTGCTGTTGAAGCTAAGCTGCAAAAATTTCAGGGGCCTATGCTGCTCAAAACAGGATGGCACAGCACTTCATCTGCTCTGCTGTAGGTGGATTTACCTCCCTGAACATAGGGGATGGGGCTTTTCTTTTTTAAACAACAACAAAAATACGAAATACTCTCTCTTTTGTTCTGGGGAAAGCCAGAACTTCAAATGTGCTGTTGCATTAACACTGTGACTGAATTAGCTAGGACAAGCAGTCAACAATGCTTTTACCAGATGATGTGGTCAGACACACCAGGTGAATTCTCCCACTGCTGGAGTCGATCACATTGCCAATCTCTCCCATAGAGGAGGATTTCTTTTGGACATCATATTTTCCAGAGTTTAGGCTGGGTTTCTTTTCAGTTTGTTTCATTTGCCAATCTGATTAATGCAACCTGTTTTCCTTCAAATAGATTTGTCTACGTATTTTCAGCACTTAGTGCATGAGGAGGGGTGATGGGAAGCCAGCGTATAGAAGAACACCGTGCCTAACTGGCACAGTTTTTAGATTTTTGTTTTCCTAAAAAAATAGAGATTATATTGCTACAGCTAATGATACATGTAAGAGAGCAAGAGCTCTGGGTTTTTTCTTTTTTTTTTTTTTGTTTTGTTTTGTTTTTTGGGGGGTTTTTTTGGTTTGTTTTTTCTTTTTTTTTTTTTCCCCCTCCCATTTTTCCCTCTGGTGTGCAAAAGTAAGCTCCCAAATGTCGTCTGATCAAAACGAGTGGTATCAAAAAATGGAAGAGGTGATTACAAATTCAGTAAGGTAGCACAGACTTTTTTTTCCTTTTCTTTCCTTTTTTTTTTTTTTTTTTTCTCCTTTTCTTTTTTAAGTGTTCCAAGTGCTAAAATTTGCATGAAAACAGGCACTAATTTCATTGTCATCATCATGATCTGGTAAGAGTTAGTGTCCAAAGGAAGATCAGCCACAAGTAAGGGAGAGGGGAGATAAGAAAGGGATAGCGTGCTCAGGGATCTGTGGCATTGATTATCGTTTTATCTGGAGGCGCCCATCCTCTATACCAGCTGCAGTAACCTTCTGCCCTCTGGATGCAGGCATAGTGCTTCGCTTGGTATCCTGAGTGGCCAAAGTTGGAGAGCATGTCTGTCCAAATGCACTCGTTCTTGGAGGTGGCAAAGCAGGGCAAATAGTAGCAGGGCCTTATCTGCAATTGTAAAGAGCAACCAGGTAAGGCTACGCGGAAAAAACAACATTATATAAAATGTCATTTTACCAGAGACAAGGGATTCAAAATTCCACTCCCTCAAACCTCGCTTACTAACCCCAAATTCAGCCTCAGTTCAGTAAGCACGTAAGCATGTGCTTACCTTTACATACACAGGTAATTCCAGAGTCAAAAGGGCTTTTCAGGTGCAGAAAAGCTGAACTTGTGTCTCTGTTTTTGCAGGCCTGAGGCCATGAGCAAAAATCTTAGTGCCCATGCCAGGCTGTGAGGTTTTAAGCCCTCAAAATGTTTACACAGGATAGAAGTTGAACTTATCTTGCCAAGCCCCTGGTACCTGATTTCATTCAACTGCAAATGATTCTGCACCGCTTCTGAAAGCCTTCCCCAACCCCAATTAACTCCAACAGGGCATTAAAAAGGCAGGGACTCCTTTTTTATTTGATTGTCTCTTCTCTGGTATCAACGCTAAAACTGAGCTTTATTTTTTCCCTGTAAAAATCGCTGTCCTCCATTTCTCCTCCTGGCTGTTCATCATCATCACTGGTACTACCAGACAGGGGAAACAGAAATCTAGGGTTTGAATGTCTTAATGCCACTTAATTAGAGACACACATACCTTGCATCCACAGCCCAGATGATAACGATGATTCAGTCCTTTACGCTGGGACAGAGTCAGCCGGTCCCATTTCTCATACCAGTTGCACAGGCCAGTGTAAACCTTCCCTTCGTACACACGGCCTTGAAGAGAGAGACATGGTCACAAGTTAGCACTTCGCTCAAGCACTTTTCTCGTTTCCTGAGATTGCTAATGCTCTCAATATGTTTGGCTTCAGTCACTGCTCAGCAACTGCTTTCTTTTTATTAACTGGTTCAGGAATCTCTGGCCAGCAAGATTACAGCACTTCTGTAAGTTAAGAGTGTTGTTCCAGCTGTAAGCACCGGCAACAACATGCAGGTGAGGAATGCTGTCAAGCCCCTCTCAACAACAGAGCGAAGTGAATTGACACCTTCGCTAGTAACGAGACTTGGCAACTGCCACACCCCTATCTGCTTGCAGCCCCCCATCTCAGCAGCCTGCCTTTCTCCAGCTCATTCCAAAAGGGATCTTCCGTTTCTGGCACAGATAAGTAGCACTGAGTTCGCTGCGACAGACGTGCCAGCTCAGGTATGAATTGACAGCTGTGGACCATCGTGAAGCATGTTTGTCACAACATGGCTGGGTGTGAGAGATACTTTAGGCGAGAGAGGGAAATCTAGAGAGCGAAATGACTCTCAGCATTAACAGTACTGAACGCCAGAATACTGTTGGCCACCTTAACACTTGAGAAGCTGGGTACAGAGCTGTCTGCACAGCTGCCCATGTCTTTAGCAGACGTAGGTACAGAACAGAAGAGGTTTTGATTATGAAGCGGTACACCGTCCTTTACCTGTAATCAGGTATTGGTACTTGTTGACCTCCAGCTTGACTCCACAAAGACTCTCAGAGGCTTCTGTGTAGATGTACTGAACATGTGGCATTATCTGGAAGCCCCTGTACATCTGGAGAAAGAAGAAAAATGCTTTAAGACATTTTAAGGTTAAAACTTTTCACATAGATTCTTTACAACCTACATTCCTAGACTAGGGTGACAAGCAGTGAATTTTTAGTGTTTACAGGGGTGAAGGACTAATGGCACGAGCTGGACTCTGATGGAAGTCTCCCTACCAGAGCTGCTGGTAAAGCAGAATACCCGCTTGCTAACAAGCCATTGCAATTCAGCACAGGGACCACTTTTCCCCCCTCGCATTAGTTCCAGTGGCAGTGAGTGAGGAAAGCGCCAACATCACAAGCTCTGCCAACATCCTGAGCAATTTTTTCCCTTATATAGCTCATAATTAGGGAGAAATTAAATTAGTTCAAGTTTGGGATCTTTCTCCTTCATGTGATTTAAGCAATTTCTTCCAAACTAAGGGATTTTTCTTTTAAACAATGACCCTATTTTCCAGTGTTGCTGCTGTAAGAGTTTCAAACCTTTGGCGCTTGATCCAAGTCATCAAGCCAGACATCCCCTTCTCAAACGCCTAGCATGCGCAACTCCTGCTGATCTCAGCAAGGATTTAATGTTTCTCCAACTAAATGAACACAGAAATAGAATTCTACCCCATCTCCTAAAATTATCCCAGTACTGATGGGCGCCATAAAGAAAATATCATGTATATATAATTCCTCTACACTCCTTCTCCTTTTTCATCATCGTTCTTACAGTTCAGTTTAATTGAAACATGAACCCACAGATACACTGCTAGTTGGATTCCATCAGAAATTAGCGTGTGTCCCTATCTGACCTGACCTTACTGCTGCCATTTAGGGAAACTCATGCCCACCTGTTAGTAGCATAATGAAGTCTGTGCATGGCAATGAAACAACCTCTGCCTCTCTACATTGGCCCCAATAAAACATACGCTATTTTGGAAACATTGAGGATGACTTTCCTGAAAATTTCATCTTTAAAATTTGGTTAGCTTTTCAAAGCATTCAGTCTCTCTTTTCTCCCCACCAACTGTATAAATGGCAAATGTTTAAAAGTTAAAAGGAAAACAGTAAGAGTCACAGTTTCATAGCATTTCCCAGCCTATCCTTTTCTCGGTCAGCCTTATTGATAGAGAGCACATTCACATTCAGTTTAACTGTAAATATTAAAGTGAGGCAAAAGAGGACAAAAAAATCCCAAACATTCCCTGAGCTGCTGTGTCGCCCAAGCTGTGGTATTCTCCTCCAGGCTGTATTCTATTTCTTGAAGTCCCCAGTTATCCCAGGGTATTTCACTGTTCCCTCACCTTCCTTAAAAGCAGTAAACCTTTTTCCTTCTGAAAAAATATCTGTTGATTTAACAGATTTTATGCTAGGCCCAGATACTGCATATAAAAATATAAAAAAACCTACTACTAATTCTGCTATGCTAAGAGGTCAGACTATCTTCTGGGCATCCACGGAATGTCTGCCAACTTTTTTTCCCCCTTAGTTATATTACCCCTATCAGCATAATCTTACAACAGTATCACAACTCAGCGACAGCACTGCTGTGCACAGTAAAAGATATGCTACAGGGTTTGCGTTTTCCAGCCTTCCTTCTACACCCAGCAAATATGCCAAGAAAGCATTTTTTTAATTAACAAAATTTGATTATGAACAAAAAGCTCACAGATCATGTTTAGAATACACCATTGTGTTCATAAGTGAGCAAAGTCTTTCAATGAATATGGAAGAACTGAATCTTGCCTAATCTCTGCTTTCTCCCTGCAATTTTCTTGGTATGGGATGATCTATTCAGATTTTCCAATTATGTTCAGGATAGCTGGAGACCTAGGCTCTGGCATAAGCTTCCTGTCTGTCCTTGAATGGGTTTTTTAGCCCCCAGTACACTTTTGCTCCTCATCTGTAGAAGAGCTCTGCCTTGCTTCCCAAGCATACTGTGAGGAAAGGCACACAGAATAAAGATCATGTGCTCAGACCCCATTCTAGTGGGTGTCACACCAAGAAGCTATGATAACAGTATCTAAGCAGATAAGACTAGCTAAGATAACAGCTGGGGCTGCCCAGTCTCTCCAGGCAGTGTGTTATCTACACTGCAGAGAGCTGTATGCTGTGCGTGTCCAGTACAAGTGATCTGCCACTCAGAGCGCTAAGCTCCAAGTGGTGTTGGGTTAATTAAGTATCTGTGCCATAAAGTCCACACGTGCACAGGCATGCTTTGAGCCCATTCTGCCCCTTGCAGAAGGAGCTATAGGCTAGACTGATCATTCCTCTGAGAAGCTGCTCAGGCCTTTCCTACAGGACCCTTACAGTCGTCACTCCTCACGCCTTCTGCAGCATCAAGCTCACCGTGACTGCCTACGACGTAACTAGTGATGCTGAACTGGGGTTACGTTTTCAACTCCTGGACCTAATTTCCTGTTCACATTACCATCAGGAACACCACTGTCAGGGTTGCTGAAGGAAGCATGCTCAGCCTCTCGAGAAGCACTTCAGCTCACCCCTCAGTGACCCTCATCAATGCTAGCAACTGTCACGCTAACTGACCCAGTGCTGGGGGCAGACCGGGCCTGCCTCGCCCTCTGATGACTAAAGAAAATTCACCGTGACCTTGGTTCTCAGGGGAGGAAAAAGAAATTTTGGCAAGGGCGAATCTTCTACAGATCCCCTCTTTCAAAACAAATAAAACAATACCTTAAGCGTTATTTTTGGATACACGAAATATCCTGGAAATGCTATTAGACCGGTCAGAAGAAAGCGAACCATAAAGCTAGTCTCTCTCCTCACTTCTACCCTCAGAGTCCTCCTGTTGCCACAAATGTGTATTTTTGGAAGCATAATGACAGGGAACGAGGCATTAGCAAGCGTCACATGGTGGTGCCTGCTAGTGCTGCTCTATTTCCAGCTGTGTCAGCATTCCCCTTAGCAGCTCCCATAGTGCCTCAGAAACGCACATGAAAATCCTGTGATGGTTCCTGCTACATGATAAACTTCACCCTATGATACCATGTTCCTCCCTCTAGCCCTCCTGTGTAAGGATACACTAGACACCAAGGTTTGGAGTCATCTTGCCTAACCTTCAGCTACCTAAAATTTAGATGCTTCATATGAATTAGGCATCCTCTCTAGTTAAACACCAAGAACGGGCACCTCCAGAACAACTTAGCCCATCCTAAAATAGCTGTCTACAACTGGTGGGCTGAATTACACTTTGGTGGTTCCTGTCTCTATCCACTGACAATCAAGAAAGAAGGAAAGACTCAACACCTCGTTTTAGTCTGTCTAAAATTAAACCAAATTAATCCCACCCTACTTCTTTCCTCTTGGGACTATCACGTTTCCCCTCATAGACTCATTTTACAGATTAGCAACAAACCAAGGAAAGCCTCCTTGCTTCTGGCAGCCCGTGCAGAGTGCTGCCATGGTCAGCCAGGACTGTTTGTGCACATGGAGCCGAAATATCTTATCTCCTTGTTTCTTCTGCAGTTTCCTGAAATAGGTTTGGGCCATTCTCAGAATGCACTGCAGCATCACAGAACATGCAGGGTCAGATCAGTCCTGTGCAGATTTCTGACACGTGATCTCGAAATATGCTTAAATTATTTGAGAAAGCAGTGTGGGGATGCAGAAGTTGCTTGAAAAAGCACAGAGACTTTTCAAACAACAAACCTGAACGCTAGAAAACCTAGCACTGTTCTCTGACTGTGGGCTGACCTTGTGCTCCAGTCCAGGCACCAAGCTGGTTTAGTTGTGAAATTCAGCAACAAGTTGAGGAGTGTTACTGAGAGCAAGAATCAGCCACAGCAAACTCCAAGGAACCCATGAAAGAAATACAAAGATTGTTTGTTGCCTTTCAAGGCTCTCAATGCTTTTCACAGGCAATTCAGTACACACTGCTAGACTAAATGGCTTGTTTATTTTTCATCTGCAGGTGCAGATGGGTTTATAGGTGGCCAAGAAACACTGACATGTTAGTTTTATCTTCAGAGTTCTTCCCATGCAGCTGTGCAGAGCCATAGGCCTCTTTAGTTTTCTTTTCAGCAGGAGGACAGTCAGCTTTCATTGGGGAGAGCAAGAGAGAGATTTGCTGCGTCATTCTGAGCTCCCTCACTGTATGGAGCTGAATCTCTCTTTATACTGAAGTATCTAAGCTCAGCAGAAAGACAGCAGGATTTCAAAGAAGAGACTCAGTTTGTTTGTTTATCAAGAACTATGTCCTCCGGACATTCCAGTTCTACTGAGCACTTTGACTGCTTCAGGTTCCATCCTGCCAAAGGTCACAGTTAAATTTGCAAAGCAACATCCCATCAGCCCACCACCTATGTAGCAGGCGTAGAGACAGTTTGACCAACATATGATTTCCCCTTTAAAATCATCCTTGCTTTTGTTGGACATGTAGCTTCCCAGCAAAACACTGTGGAACTGCTCCTGCAAAAAGGCAACTGTTCTCTTGTGGTCTCAGCACAAGGGCAATGCAGATTACTGCAGCATCTGCTGTAAACACCCTGCCCCGTGTTGCAGAATAACCCAATGAAAACAGCTGGAACAGTCTCAGGCATCTTATTTCAAGACTGACACGATGGGTGTCTATCGACAGTAGAGCGGCTGCTGCTCCACTCAACATGCTCACCTTGCCTGGGCTTAATGCTACTCCCCAGGCCAGCAGACACACAGAAGCCTCCTGTGTTCACAGCAGGGACACTGCTGCAGGCTCCTAGCTCAGAGGAGGAATGCTTAATGCTGTTCCAGAGATCTCTGACACTGCAGCTCACTGGCTGACAACAGGGCAGGCTGCATCATTAGTTAGGAGAGAGGCTAGCGTTATGGTTGGTAAAGGGTAATAATTCATTTTGGGGACTCCCGTTATTCTAGATCACCACTAGACTCTGTTCATGGTCAGATGTTAGACAGGAAGCACCAAACTCTTGGAACTGAGCAGGAGGGAAAGTTGGGGTCCTGGGCAGACCGGAATGAAATCAGAAAAAGAAAAGTCGATGAAGCCACTACAGCATGTGGATGTTGAGTAGTTTTGTGAAGTGGGGTACACTTGCTGATCTGGAGAGTGACAAAACTGGACAGAGGGGCACAAGCACAATGAGGCCAGGGACAGCCATCCCAAAAAAAAAAAAAAAAAATTAAAAAAAATGGGGTTGGAGCATTATCTCACTGTTGCCAAGATAACTCGTTGCCTTTTTTACAAATACAAGTTAATTGACAAATATATATTTCCTTTTGAATCTTAAAAAGAAATTTTTAAGATTAAGGACATTAGTAAACGCAGCACCTCATGCCCTCTTATTCAAAGTGCAAGCATTCCACTCCAGTGGAAGAGCCATGCCAGCACCAGAGTTGGCTACGTGTGCGGTTTTGCGACAGCTTATGAAACAGGCTTTGCGTCTCCTCCTCCCAGCTTTCGTGCTTAGCTATAAACTGCCTTATAAAGAGAGTTACTGTTACAAGGCAGGCAAGTGACTGTTTCTTTCTGAACCTTTACTTTGTCTAATATGTTTCAGATTTCTGCAGTCTCTGCCAAGCTTTTCCATTCCCCTTCTTTTTTCTTAAGAGACATAAACCAGTCTTATGACTGGAATGGCATAGCCAAGAAAAACAATCTAGGGCTGATTTTTAGCATTACATAACAAGGGGTCAGATTAAGAAAAAAAAATCTAAGTCCAAAGCAGCAGGTTGAGTGCAGTTTGTGCAGCCAAAAATTAGGGCTCTGAAGAGAGGAACTAGAGAAACTAAGCAACTGGTGCAGGAGATCTACCTCTTTTCATCTCTGAGTGATTGCTTTAGAGCTCTTCCGAGCTGACGATATTTCAAAGCTACAGTGTTTGGTTTAGCTTTATATAAAGGCTTCTCTCTACGAGTTTCATTTGTTCTGTGCATGGAAAAAAAAATGCCATCGTTCTAACTGGTGGCCACAAAGAATGCAAGGAAATAAGAGATGAAAGATCACTCTCCCAAGTCTGGCAGGCCCCCTGCCACCACCACATCTTGAATTTAATGAAAGTGCTGCATGGAAAAGCTTGCATTTCCACCATCTAATACTGTGTATGCTAAACACAAACAGGACTCCAGTATCTAGAGAAGCCCATCTGGCATCTTTTACTACCAGAAATTTTAAAAATAAAGGAAAAATTCAGGAATGAAGTATTGTATGTCAGGAATGACCTCTTTCTGCTCCTTTCCCCTCTCCAGGCAAATTTCTACCAATTATTGCTGGTTAATTTCCGTTCTGGCTGACCAATATGAAAATTTGAGGTGCTGTTATTTTAAGTATGCAAACTATGCTTGTTATTACATATTAATTAGAATAATTATCATATCTACAAGCCTGTGCAAAATGTCTGCAAATGTACCTTCATCTGCTTGACTGTGTACCGCATTGTCCCAAATGGTCCATCTTTCATGAGCTTCTTCCCCACAACTTTAGCTCGGATCACTGTTAGAAGAGAGGAAAAACATAAATTATAAACAACTTTACACAACATTTAGGCTAGACCCTCCACTTCAAAAAAGCCATTTAGATAAATTATTCTGTAATATAAAACAAAACTCCAGGCCAGCCTGCCTTTCAATTTATTCTAAATCTCACACTCAGTGAAGACATGTAAAATGTGATGTCAAAGCAAGTATTTATTTAGAGGAAATCCAGTCCTGTGTGAATAGTAAGAACAAGCACTATTTATGTTGAAATCTCAGTGAAATATGCAAGGCAGACTATAGCTGCGACCAAGACAGGTTAAAATCTTTGTACCAGGCCACTGGGATGAAGTTCATATTTAATGTCTCAACTCTCAACATACGGAATGATGTTCAACAAGATACTACTTCTAAATTGCTCTTTGGGTGCCCAATGCAGCTTCTGTTTCCCAATAACCACAACAATACAGTGCAGCACACTGGAATATCCTGTATCTGGGCATTTCACTAACAGCTGCCATCCTCCCAATACCACAAAACCCCCAACAAATGGCTTCCTTGAACAAATGGCTCCTGTGCAAAACCAGATTGTTCAGCAACCATCGAGTCCATGGTGAAAGCTGCCAGGCCAGCCAGAAGCCACTTGGAAGACAAACTAAAGCTGACCCATCAGATCTTACATACACTGCACTTCATTTCTTCATGGATACTAAGGGGCAGTGGGTGTGCATGCGTGCACACAGCATTCAGCCTGACACAAATAACTCCACTGGACCACAGATGCACCACAGCAATGCCAACTGAGCCTAAGCCATCATAGATAAGTATTTTGAGGTCCTTCGGATAGATCTAGTGGGCAGTTTACAGCCAGTGCTTAATGAAGAGTTCTCCTGCTCATCTATTTTTAAGACACTCCACAAAAAAAAAAAACCTACTGTTTCTTTTCGAAAAAGTTCTGCAATCACCCACTCATCTCAGTAGAGGAGCATAGTTTAGTGACAGGGGGCATTATTCAGCTGAAGTCCACTCCCCTATAACAATCATATCACATTATACAAGCATCAGAAGTGGCTTAAATTTTACAAGAGCTGCAGAAAATGAGACTGGAGAAGACCAATCCTGGGAAGGATCACTGTTAGAAAACCCTGTACCCTAAACACCACTCACACAAACAACAGGACAAAAAATAAAACAAGGAACTCAAAATTCCATCAGTCAAGAGAAACACCAAAACTACAATATAACCACACAACTCTTACCTACAATCTTATTCATCAAGCTTCTCATTGCAAGGGCTGTGTAAATTATTCAAGTAGAATAATCCAAAGAATGCAACATACTCATAACACGATTGACAATGTATAGTTACACATAAACCACGAAGAAACCCCTTTTGTGTGCAAGAGGAGATATCAGCTACTTTTGCATAAAGCTTGTATCAGTACACCATTGCTAACGTTGCACCTCTGATGAATATATGGCCCAATGGTTCCAGACCACCGAAAACCAGTTAACTAAAACGGACCACGTGCATCATTTCCTCTGAGACTGTGAAGGTCCTGATTGTGACTCCCTGCACAGGACAGAGGTACTGCTTTCACAGCAATCTTCTGCAGCGTTTCATCTGTGTTTTGCTGAATGCATCGTATTCATGCATCGCAGAAAACAATTCGTTAAAAAGCAGAAAGGCATGGAAGGAAGACAAAGAGGTGGAGGTGCTCCTTTGCAAGCAGGAAAACCCAATGAGTTATTATTTGCATTACAGCACTATCTAAAAGCAGCAACAAAGTGCAGGGATCCATTTTGCTAGGTATATAGGACATTAAACAAACACCTTATTGCTTCTTAGTTCATTTAGGTTTCAGAGAGCTGTAGAAGCCCACTGGAAGAAATGGGAAAAAAGAGAAAGCTAAGTTTTGGTTCACTACCTAGACCAAATTAATGAGACAAAAAGCTTGTCACAGCTTCCTGAATAATCTGAAGAACAGATTTAAAGGAAGAAATAGGTCTGGTTATGTACACCAGTTCCTGGAACTTGTTCCACAAGGATGGTGTGAAATGAAGACAAACTCATTCTGCACTGATTTATATCCTGTGCTTCCGCCAGACTTTTCAAATAAATTTTGAAGTGGGTAAGATAGTCCTGCCAGCTTTGATTCAAAGGACCAACAACACCTTCATTCATTGAATGTAAAACTTCATTCTTATTTTTTTTTCAAATTTCTATTATCCAATGGCAATAAAAGCCGGTATAATTTTATTGATTCTTCTATTTAACAAGTTGTTCAGACTTTGATTTACTCTCTTCTTCAAAATTTAGTAGCTATACTGAAGCATGTCCTTGCGGACTGCAAATATCTTTAAGGAACCAGATTCTTCCATTTGTTGCCCTCAAGCACCACAACCACCGGTGAAGCTATAAAAAACAGACTGCCTAAGGGTCAATGAGAAAGAACACAATTTCTTTAAGGCTTTGTGAATTCCAGGGCACTTCACTAATTCTGGAGTCTATAGCAAAGGATGTCAAAAGTCTTATCTTCATCTATTGCATACCTGATACACTGAAAGTGAAAAACCTGGTGTTTGCCCAACACATCTGAAATCAACAACGAAATCTTGTACCTTATTGACATGATAGGAAATATACTGAAAGGCAGTATTGCAAAACACTAGGGTTTCCAAACCAGAATGCACTTAACATAAAAGATGACAGGCACATTCCCAATTGCTGACAAAATATCTAAACCCCATTTTCTTTGCATACTTCACTGCCAGATTGGCAGCCCTTTAACTTTGAGTAGCACAGCCACTTAGAAAGAAACCAACTTTGATTTAAGGACTAACAAACAGCTTCATCACAGGACCAAAGATTCAAAATGTGCACCTATACCAGCACATAACAGCATCCCGGTTTCAAGTAATGCTACCCCTGTAAGCAGGTGGAAGGATTTGTATTTTTGTATTATTGTTTCCCAGTGAAGTTCAAGAACAACCACCGTCCTAGCAAATACACCCAGTAGAAATCATGAAAAACCTTAGTGCGGGCTGTCACTTCAAGCCTTTTGTAAACAGGTCAAGCCCTCTGTATCTCAGAGAAGTTGCCTTTATCACCCAAATGGTAACTTTTCTAGTTATGTTCCCTCTTTTACCAAAAAGCGAAGAATGAACATAGAACCCACCCTGCCTCATTTTTCCCATATTAGAGGAAAAGTCGAGCTGCTAGACAAGGAGCGGAGGACACTCCAACTTAAGTCTACCCCCTGTATTTCGTGAGGCTAAATTCCCACCTCCTGATGATTAGATGCATCTGGGTAATGAAAGAAATGCTGGATGGACAGGACTGCTCGGAGGTTGCTCTTGCATGTCCAGCTTCATCACCCTAAGCCTCCACAGATGAGAGCCACTTGTACATCTGCCCAGCACAGAGCTCCAAGCTGCAGATCTGCAGCCCCACGTGCCTCAGTTCCTACCTTCGCTCCTTCAAACTGCTGCTCACCAGTTATGCTGCTGGACCACTCTTTACACCTGGTCAGAAGATAAAGAACACTGTTCCTAACTGAGCAGGGGCCATGCATACTTGCCAGAGGAATTTTTCACCCTCTCCAAATTATTAGAAATTTACAGTACTTCTGCTGCAAATTCAATCCATGGTATGTTAACGAACTCAACTGTTTACTTCTGGGGTCTCCTACTGCTTGAGCAGAATGAGGCAAAAGGTGCTGTGACTGCTCCCCTGAACTCCTTCCTTCTCCCTGAAGCTCTATTACAGTCCTGCTATTACTGATGGGAAACTTTATCCCACACAAGTGGTCACCAAAATAGCTGCATATTTTTAAACCACAATTCCTTTGAAGTACTGCCTATGAAAATACTCTGAGATGAATGTTTCTCAGTACTTTGGGGTTTCAGGTCGGGTCACTTTGTGGGACTGGAGCAGTTGGCAAGGTCCCATGAGTGATTTGTAATTATTTATGAAAAGTTAAATTAGATGAGGATATAAATCTGGATAAGATAAGCATGGCAGCCATACCATGATTCAAAGAGGAGAAAACATATGTGTTGTTTCTCAACATTTGACATGATTTAAAAAAAAAAAAAATGAGGGAGAGAACAGAGAGAAGGAAAACCGGATATTTAGCTGTTATTCTCAAAAATAATTATTAAGAAAATAACAACTTGCTGTGTTTGAGGATTCAAGAAATACATCTTACAATGTATCATAAATGATTAATGTATTTATCTCTTTTCCCCTGCTTTTTTTCTTAATGTAAACTAGCTTACTGCTTACGAAAACGAAGATGGCTCAGATTTGCCACAGGACTAGTATAGTGCAAGCAGCTAATGGCTTGTATTTCACTGGCATCTCTAGTATGGTACAAACTGTCTGCATGTGTATATATACACACAAATACACACAAAAATCCCTTACATCTTTCCCAAATGTCACCGGATGAGGCCTTATACAGGCAAACAGATTGGAATGGGCATAGGAGAGAAAGGCCTTACACGCACTTTCATTTGCCCAAATGCACACACATCTAACTCATGTACTCTTTACCCCCTACTCTGTAGCCATTTTCTCAAGGATTTATAGGAACAATAGGCCTAAAGCAGAAGGGGACACTGGCTTTACAGCTGAGATAGCAGAAGGCATTCTTTCCATGAGGCAAGGAGTAGACAAACAGGCAATGACTGATGCGAGAGAAGGGGACATGTGAGATTAAGACAAGCGTTTGCCAAGCTGAGGAAACAACACGGGAAAAAGACTTAAAATTACCAAGTCATTTCACCCAGGCACTAGCTAGCTACTACATGCATAACAGCTCTTCTTCCCAACTGAAAAGCAAAGGCATCAACTGTGGTAGTTCAATCCAGCCTGTGCCCTCTGTCAGGGCCATCCACTAGATGGTGGCACTATCACAAATCTCACCTCCTGTTGGCGAGAGGGCAGCCTGTGTCCCTACCACTAACACCACAAACCCCAGTTGCATACCCAGCCACACCATGAGAACCAGATGC